ACGTCTGAGCATTGCAGGAACAGCTACTGTCACTGACATAGGACTGTAATATTTTGTGTCTTTGTTGTACTGGAAGCTCAACTGTATAATGAGTCAATGAGTTTTCCCTTTCTAAAATAAGGAACATTAACATATTTCATAAAAGTTGAATGGAAATTGCCTCCAATCAGTCTGCAAGCTTTCTAGAGAAGCATTTCTGTTCAGGGATCAATGAGCAAGTTACTTTATAACTTCCTGACCAAAATATGAAAAGGGTTGACATCCCCAGAAAAGGCAAAGCATGGGGCAGACGAAGAAAAGCAGATGAGTTTAACGGACACTGCCCGACTTGTATGTCAATGACAAGACCTGCTAATGCCAAACTTCTATTTCCTAGAGTGAAGAGATAGCTAAAGTCAGTCCAGGAGATACAGAGCATAATGAAAGAGCTGATTGATTTAGCTGTATGTACCAAAGGAGCAAAGCAAGATAGAAACACAACCACTAGATGTTTTCGGAGTAAAGCACGATAGAAACACAACCACTAGATGTTTTCTCTGAAAGGCTCAACGACAGAAAATCACATCGACAGATGTTATTCAATGCTATTCAAACGGCAGAATCCACAAACAAACTAAACTCATCTGCTAAATGTCACTGGTTCAGGACGCACAGCAGTCAACAGCTGGGCCTGCTGCATAGCTTTGCCCACTCGTCCATCACCCTGGGTGACTCTGGTGAGGTCAGTGCATAATTATTGGTGGCATTTAGGACATGCAAGGAACACAAAGATCAATGTGTAGTCATTCACATGCACTGGACAGCTTTTGTTTTACTAGCACTAAATTTGAGACCAAGCCTTTTTGCTTTGATCAAAAGCTTATGTTTCCTCATGTTAAAAGAAAAATCACAGAATCACTGTTTTGGGAGAACACTTGATGTCGTTTATGGTCCTTTGAAGAAATGCTTTGGTTTACCACCCGGTGAATAATGTGTGAGCTCTATTGCTCGGTTCAAAGTCTCCCCGCTGTTCTGAGTGCTGGAGATCAGTAGGGTCGGCATTTGGCTTTGCTGAGAGCTTAAACACACGAGGTGTTTAGCTGAACCAGAGGTCCTGCTTTCTGCTAAACAACCGTAACCACCAGTCTGAATATTCTGCATGTTGTCTGAGGACTAAAGATTCTTTCATTTAAATCTGAGCTAACACTGAAGGCAGTCAAGCTATAACAGGACAGCAATAAAAATACTTTGCAGGATTTAATTATGCAGATCCCCTTCGTGCCAATTGGACAGATATTTCCAAGTAAAATTCATCACTAGCAGATTGTACAGATTTAAATAAATGACACAAAATGTGAAAAAGTTTAGAAATTCAAGTGTTTTTTTGTTAAATGCTCCACATTAGCTGCCTGTACAAGAGATGTTCCTTTGGTTGAATTCAAAATTGTATCTTGGTAGAAAAATACCAGATCCAACACAGCATATTTTAGTCAGCTATGTTACAATTCACATTTAAAAAAATATATCTAATATTTAAATTAAAACACATTCAAAACACACATGTCATTGGTCATGCTGCCTCAGTAATAAACCTTTGTGAATATGAAAATCCTCACATAAAAGACATTCATGTAAATTGGACATTTTCAATCTAAACTTGAAAACTAACACTGAAATGACAAACTTAAAGAGGAACAACACTTAAGGGTAGACTAGGGATCCCTGACAGCTGCATGGATGGCAGTTAACCATAAACTGTCATTTGCACCAAGCAAACCAGATGTTTATTCAGAATAAGAAACCTCAAGGGTCTCTCACTGGGCCTGTACTCGCACGTCTGAAGCTGGCTCCCTCCTTTGTGCACAATCTCTGCCAGAGTAGGGTTGGAAAAGGCAGAACTTTGTAGCAATTCTCTTGTGAAATCCATAACATAAGAAAGCACACCATTTTAATTTGAAATCCTCCTGCTACACATGCTGAGCCCTATTTAAAACAGAAACACTCCATTCTTGAGTGTACATGCTAAGGCCTTCTCCAGTGAAAGGAATGAGAATGATTTTTGCTCTGAATACAATTCAGTGTTAGCAGTTGGTCATTAAAAATGATTTGTGTGCAGGTTAAATGTCAAGGTCTGTAGTAAGTTGGAATGTGAGGCTCATCTCTCAAACTGAGAGGGTGCAAACTGAGGCTTCAACCGCAGTTTGCATAACTTGCCTGTCGATAACCTATAATAACCCTGCCTGTCTCCTACAATTCAAACATCTGATTTTCTAATACATTTGCCAAATGAATGGCAGACAGCATGTGTCCACTAACTTCCAAACCCTCATTAGTGAAATGGCTGACCTACTGGCCATACCTCACACCTGCATGTGTTTGAAAATGATCACGTTTTACTATAAATCTAAAAGAACAAATCCTAATGTTATTGTGACAAATGCTGTTAAAGTAAAATTAAAGCTCAAGGCTGTAAATTACAACAATGTCATTACCAGGTTGCAGAAGCAGATAAAAAGGTAATCATAAGTATAAACATTATTGCCAAGTATTATCAAAAATACAAGAAATTTGACTCCAACAAAATTGGTCCCCGAAACGACAAACAACAAAAGCACACGGGAGCACACAACTTAGGCTGCCCTGGTCGGCGCCACGACAGACATGACCTGCTTTAGGCTTCCAAAGGAATGCTTTTGCTGAAGTCTGTTCAGTGTGCCTGCATTGTCAGCAAAGGGCCAGCCAGTCATTCCTTCACAGAGATCAAAAATTGTATACAAAGGGGAATACAAAGGTTCACATTAGCATTTTAGGTTTTCCAAATAGCCTTTGTTAACCAATGACAGCTTCAAGGCCAACTGGGCACAGAATAGAACTGATGAATAGAGTAGTTTGTCTTGTCAAGGCAACTGTTCACTGGCCACAAATGCAGC